GTTTCCCCTGTCAACCTTCATTCCACCAATTGCTCCACAATCACCCTCACCTATCATCGGGCTGGTGCAATAGGCCAGAAGAAGTGACCGCAGTACAAGGGACTTAGTCCCACCCCACTAGCAGTAAAAAAATACAGGGTGCCTTGATTGTTTAATTTGATTTGTTAGTTCTTTGCTTCAATGAGGATAGGACATATAGTATGCTATGAAAATTATTTCATTCATGAACAATTTGAAATGCTGTTCTTCACATTGCAGGTTGTAGAAGAACCATACACCATGAGGGAGGCAAGGATCCATGTCAGACATGTTCGTGATTTATTGAAATCCCTTGATCCAGCAGATGCATACAATGGAGTAGACTGCAGTTCATTGTCCTTCCTCAATGTCATTACACAAGGTGATATACTAGGTATGTCAGCACATTCAATACCAATCATGTAAATTTATGTTTTCCTTTGATTTAATTTACAAGACTGTATAATGGAGATGTTTGTTTATGTAGGTGTGATTGTTACATGAAACCTACTCAGTATTTTTGGCATATCTTTATGCCCCTGGAACAGAGCACATAATATGTAAGATACTTGACAGTGTAACTTATTTTCCACCATATTTAAATATTCACTGTATCAAAAAGGTATTTCAAAGAAAGTTTGTAGATCTTAATTGTTATTTTGAATTTGATTTGTTTCATTTGTTATTTTGAGCTGTGTAGCAATATTGTACAATATGGACTGTTTATAAGAATTGTTAAAGTTAAATTCGGTCTCCCTATGTAAGGTAGGGTTTATTTATGAGTCGCAAACCAAAAATAAGGTGATTGTATACCTTTAGTGTAAACACCTCATGCCAAGTTTTGATGAAATCTGTTGAACGGTTGTGATGATGAAACATGTGGACATACAGATACCAAGTCCTGTTGTAAGTATGTGTGAAGAACACACAAAAAGCCATTCTGACAGCATATATTAACTACCAAGAATTGCATTCTTTATTCAGAAGTAATATAAGTAATCTGTTTTCAAGCTCAGATACCCAGGACCCTGGGAATGCAAGTATGTGAAAAATGAAATGGTAAAGGAACATTTAAGTTCTAGCAGGTATTTGATTTGTGACTCTTTGGTTTCTGGTTTCATCTCTACTGTATTTACATCTGCAGAATTTTTCTTAATGTGATATATCGGTCTGTGCATTACATTGCATTGCAGTTGTGGGCTGACAAATTGATGGAAGTGTCAGTATAATGACTAGCACAGTATATGCTTCAATATTTATGGTTATAAATTATTCATATTTAATTCTTGATCACATTTGCAATGAATAGTTGCAAAAAATGCGCACTGAACTTGGAAGTTTCTGCTTGTCTGTCTGTTCATTTGTCTGCATTTAACAACACAAGAACTTAGATTTTTATGACTTTTCATGCTTGGGAGTTCCAAAAAATTTGCTGGCACATTCCAGTGTGGAATAAAACTGGGCGGCAATAACAGACATTTTACACTGAGATGTATGTGTATCATGAAAATAATTTGCCAGATATTCATTGGAATGGAGAATGTTTCAAACAGAAGTGCAGAGAAAAATGAAAAAATAAAAGGTAAAGCTGTTCCTGTGCTTAACTAATTAAGCATTATGCCATATCCACAAATGAGGGAGTGGATGTATAGATCCACATGTTCTTGACCTTGGTACTGGTACTTCATGCTCTGGCTGCTTTGCCCCTGTAGAAATATCCCCCAGTACCCGTTGGATAGGAGGCTGGGGGTGCCACAGAAGCGGCCTGGATAATGTGGAGAGGACAAAATCTTGCCTCTGCTTGTACTCGAACTCTGACCCCTTGGCCATCCAGCTTGTTACCAGTCAGCATACCAACTATGCTGTCCTAGTTCCAGAGAAGTATGAAACACTGTTAAAACATTTCAAGAAGAAGGACAAGAAGTCTTTATGCTTCTCCATCTTTTTCTCTCTCTAGTTCATCCTTCCTGTTTTATGCTTTTTTTTTAAGACAGTACAAATTGATAAATTAGAGTTAATATTACAACACATGTATCTTAATTGTTACCTACCCTATACATACATTTCTTAACTTGTTACCTTTAAAGGAACAGGGTGACTTTTGCAAAGGAAGAAATGGGGTTTAAATAGTTTCTCGGATTAGAAAAGTTTGTAACGTGCTGCTGTATCTTGTCCCATATTATTTTCTCTTTAGTTGTTTGTCCAGCTTTCCTTAAATTATAATGAAATTATTTTTGTGGCATTATCATGTACATATTTGTATCTGTCGTTTCCTAATATTTTTTTAACAAAATGCTGGGTTTTTACGTTATTTGTTATGAACATATACCACTGAAGACTGTTCCAAATATGTACTTTTTATTTCTCTGCCATCAGAAAAACCGCATGTCTGCCATGAAAACTTTTAAGTGGAAGCAATAGTAATAATGTAAGGTCCTAAAGTGCTCTGTATTAATAGACGTTACAAAAATATGCAGCTCACATTAATGCAGTTTTTATTCTAAGACAGCAACATGATGGTTTTTTAAATTTTGTTAAGTCCAACTGGGTCCACTTGGCACGGTGGCCACTTATTGGCCTATTGTACCTGCCCCCGGTGATTATGATGATGGAGAATTTGGTGGAATGAACATTGGCAGGGGAAACCGAAGTACTCGGAGAAAACCCGCCCCAGCGCCACTTTGTCCACTACAAATCGCACTTTACCAGACCTGGGATCGAACCCAGGCCGCCACAGTGGGAAGCCAGCGACTAACCACTTGAGAACATGATGGTTACTTGAAATCTATGTTTAAGTTGCTATTCAGTGCTGATAACTAACGAATCATTGGAGCTAACCATTTGAACTTTGGTATTCACATTGAACGTAAAGATAAATACAGATTCTATGAAAAATTTTTGTAGTATGTTGTAAACGTTATAATAGTGAAGATCTTTTGAAGATGTATCTAACGATTGACATAATGGGAAATTATTCTGGTTGTATTTATACACAAGAATGGATTACAGAATTTTATGATTAGTAACTTACAATTTCTACTTGTTTTACACTAACATGGGATATATTTTGTAACAGAGAAAAAGAAGAGTCGACCTGAAAGTGTAGACTGCACACCTCCGGATTACATAATGCCAGGAAGTAAAGAGAGGCCACTGATGCCTTTGCAGCCTCAAGTGAAAGAACAGAAGGGTCCACAGACAGTGAAGGTGTTAACAACATCTGGATGGAATCCACCACCTGGTTTTCGCAAGATGCATGGCGATCTTATGTACCTATATCTGGTTACTCTAGAAGAGAAACATTATCACATCACTGCCTGTGCACGTGGATTTTTTGTGAATCAGTAAGTACATTACATGGACTTAGAGAAAGAATAAATTCTGTAAATCCATATTATTTTATTCAGTTAAAAGTTATCACATGAACTTTTGAAAATACTAAATCCTAAGAACTGCTTTGTCGGTTGTTTTGTGTTTGGGTGAAGCATAGTCTCTCACTTGGGGGAAGAACATGGGTTACGGATGTTTAAAAACAAAGGTTACAGCAGAATGTTTTCTAGACCTAAGGATGAAGCAAGTGAACAATTTAAGGTATTACATAAAGAAAAATGAAGTAAGCAGAATATTGTCAGGTTATATTTAAAAGCATTAGAAGTGACAAGGTGTAAGTAATTCTTTCCAGGTCTTCTGAAGAGGACTTCAATCCAAAACCTGCCACACCAAGTCATTTATGTCACTCTTTGATTGAGTTATTGAATCAAATCAGCCCTGCATTCAAGCGAAACTTCTCCATACTTCAGAAGAAGAGGACACAGCGACACCCATTTGAAAGGGTAGCCACACCATATCAGCTGTATTCATGGACTGCTCCACAAATGGAACACACAATTGATGCAATTAGAGCAGAAGACAGTAAGTCATTTAACTTCTTTCAACACATGCCATAAGAAAAATGCAGTAGATTCACAATTATCAGTGTTAGATGGTGGGGATTACTAGTGTGAACAATTCAAAGGAGCGGATATCCCTCAGAAAATGTAATTACAGTGGAATTCCCTGGAGTCTTATTGATTTAAGGTTTTTCCCGTTTCAAGTTTAATTTCAATGAAAAAAATCAATAGCGTCAGTGTTCAGTATCCTGTATTTAAGGATTTCTTCAGTTTGGTGTTCAAATGCACTGTCTTCCAGAGAAATAATGAATGGAGATTTCACTGTATATAGTTTGCTCTGGAAATATAAATAGTTCTTTTTGTATGGTACTTCCAAGTCTGTGAAACACTAGTTTGGCAAAAAATGTGTGGATAATGAAATAAGTAGATGCAGTTTATTTGTATTTTTTATGAAATCTGGAAAAGGCAAATAGACAAACATGTAATGTCCCTTTTTGACATAATTTCCCCATTATCCAAACACTGTTATGTTGGCCCACTGACTTCTTCATGCCATCTGAGAAGATTGTTTTTGGTTGAAGCCAAATATGCACCACTTCTCGTATATCTTGAAAATGTGTGTCCACAAACACTTTTATTAGTGGCCGAGAAAGGCGATTGTCACGTGGGGAAAGGTCTTGAATGTATTACATATGAGGGAGAAGCTCAAGTTTTAATTCTTTGCACCATTTTAGGCAAAATTGAAGCACATCACATTCATCATCACTGGTGGAATGTGAAAATGGATCTGACATGTTTACACTGAGGCTCTGTGATAAGTATTAAATGTACCAGCAACCACAGCCTTGTTTAAACTTGTCTTAGCTAGCACAGAGTATATAGCTCATGACAGTTGGCAGCACATTCTGTCATGCTGTCAGAGTCTTATTTTCTGTTGCAGAGCAAATGACACTTTCCTGAATGTCATGAAAAAAGAGGGTGGGAAGACTAAGATAATAGGAAGGCTAGAATACAAAATTCGTGCACAGTTCTAACATTCAAACATCTAAAGAGGTGGTATGTTTACTATGTGTTGTAACCAGTTATTTGATATTTAGTCTACTAGTGTTTGTAAGAGAGTTGGTTAATAAGCTTAGCAGGTAATCTGCTTGAGGTTAATCTTTTAAGATTTTTGTTTTATACAATGATATTGTAATGTGTTTCGTTACAGAAGACGCCGTAGAGATGGTTAATTGGTTTATTTAACAATCTACAAGTAACGGCTACAATTAATTATCACACAGTTGCGGGGTTTCACACTTTATAACCCTAATCGCATTAATCTGTTAACACTGTTGCGGGGTTTCACGATTTATAACCCTATGCGCAAATCAGTTCACTCCGTGTTCAGTAGTCTACACATTTACAGTAGGGGAGCTACGTATCACTGTATCACACGCTCCCGATTACCACACACACGTCCGGATCTTCTATCTGCGACGGCTGCTATACTCCAACTGTAGTCCGCTGACTGGAGAACTGTTGATAACACACTCTCATAGGCTTGCTCGGAACTTTCTTCGGCGATGGCCACGTTATAACTCGGCGGCTGTCACAGTACAACTGAAGTCGCCAACTGCTACAGTAGAACTCTGGTAGCCACATTAGAACTGACTGGTACCAGCTGTGCAGCTCACTTATATAGCTGCAGTGCTTGCCGGTTGCGTAATGGGTGCCACGTCACAGTAGGAAGTTGATTACGGGTACGTAGCGTTGCGCGTTACGTCACCGCGTTGACTTGCGTTGCCTAGCGACCAGGTTGCGGGGGCTTGGCTTTGCGCAACATGTCACAATATATATAAAACTTCGCGCATCTGGTTGCATGTAACAACATGAGAACTAAGGAAGATGTTTTTATGTAACTTGATATTGGGGAGTCTCTATAAAAAACATGTCAGCTCATTTTAATTTTGTTAAAAATTGGACAGTAATGTTGAACCTTCACATGGAAACCTACATGCATTTCTGTTCACATCTTTCTTGTAACCTGTTACATATTTATCAGAAAGAGAAAGCTTTAACAAAAGTTGTAGAGAAAAGTGGATCACACATTTTATGACTGACAATTTTTCTGTAAATCAGAGGGTTTTCAAGATATTTAAATTAAAGGGATTGAATGCACCAGAACTGATATCCTATACCTTTATTTCCTAACTTATTCCAGAATATGTTGCATTCTTATGGCAGAACTGAACACTGAAATTTGTTAATATAAATGCCTACACACAGTACAGTTATGTGTTCAATGGCTGATGGGGCTTAATTCTGAAGGCATATCATTGTTTGTGTATTTTCAGCATTCTCATCAAAGCTTGGCTATGAAGAACACATACCTGGTCAAACACGAGACTGGAATGAAGAATTACAGACCACTCGTGAACTGCCAAGAAAAAATCTTCCAGAAAGGTTACTCAGGGAAAGAGCTATATTTAAGGTTAATACTTCTTTCAAGAAAAGTTGTTGAAAACTGATTTTATGGCCGTTACATCATTCACAGTAATCATCAGAGAGGAACAGATTGCCTCCATCTTGAAGGCCAAAGAGTATGACAAGCAGGAAACGAGCAGAAGCAGGTGGCAAACTTGGGTGCCCTGCTTACTGCCTGCTTCTGCTAGTTTCTTGCTTGGCCTCCTGTTTGACACACAGGATGGAGAGTGTATATTCCTATGAAGTATCAGGATGTTTCTAAATTAGTGTTACAACCCAGAAGACACTATTTCATAGTCACCACCACGAGAACCCAAATCCAACATATGTATCTACGTCTAACAGAAATATTATTCCATGGCTTCAAAATACTCCAGGGATACGTATTTCAAGATATGTCACATTATCTAGATGTCTGTTTTCCCAGGAATTGCTGAATCACATTCATGCTTTTCTGCTTTTCCTTTGTTCACAAATAAGGATGAACATTAAAAGAATCGTCACAGTTAGGTAAATGTGGTTATTTATTAAACAATTAATATTTATGCTGCTTATTTTTGTATATGCATTTATAAGAAACTACAGTGTTGTTGTTCAGTAGCAATAACTATAAATTTAAGAGTCACATCTTTGAGATTGATGACGATGGAGTGTTGCTTTAGAAAGCTGTAGAACCTCCATGTCATGATTAAGGCTTATGAATTCCAGTTGTGTGCTGATAAAGGGAATGTATACACAGCTGTTTACAGTTCCTACAATTTGCAGGTCCATAGTGATTTTGTTGCGGCAGCAACTAGAGGGGCTATGGCAGTAATAGATGGAAATGTTATGGCAATCAATCCTGGAGAGGAGGCTAAGATGCAGATGTTTATTTGGAACAACATTTTCTTCAGCTTGGGTTTTGATGTACGAGACCATTACAAAGAACTTGGTGGAGATGCTGCAGCATTTATTGCTCCAGTAAGTAATTCTGTACTTCCTTTAGCCCACCTTTGTTGATGGAAAAAGACTAGCCTTATGCTGTGTGTCTGTTTCCATTTCAACTACTGAACCAGCTGGCCAATTATAATGAAACTTGGAATGAATGTTATGCTATTTGAGGCCACCCCAACATCATACTCATACATTTTGATTTCCTACAATGAGTAATAACAGTCATCCACTTCACTCTTCACTCCTGCACTACATGTTTCGGCACAAAGGTGCCATCTTCAGGTGCTTTTCGATTTANTAAAATATAACATGAATAATAACAGTATTGTCAGATGTGCAAACTTGTGAGGTGGGAGTGACACTGATGTGACATAGTTTGGGTTCCTGAAATGATATAAGATAATAGAGCTAACATGGCATTTTAATCCAGTTTAGGACTCAGTGTAAGTGTATATATCAACTGAGAACTGTGTGTAAATGTCCCCTATTTATGTTGTTTTTACAGCGCAATGATCTTCAGGGAGTGCGGGTATATAGTGCAGTGGACCTGCAAGGTCTGTACACTTTAGGTACAGTCGTTATTGATTACCGAGGCTATCGTGTCACAGCACAGTCCATTATACCAGGCATCTTGGAACGAGAACAGGAACAGTCTGTTGTCTATGGATCTATAGACTTTGGAAAGACTGTCATTTCGCATCCTAAGTACCTTGAACTGGTTAGTAACAGAGAAATGTGTGTTCATAGTGTGGTGCTTACATGTAAGGATATGTACCTCCTTATGCTATCTTAACAGCACTTATTCATATTGTTATATTTACTGGAAAGATATTAACAACAATTTTTTTAAATTTACAATACATTCCAATTATCCACATTCCTTGACACGATTGCTTAACTGCAAGGAGATTTTAAGAACTGTGAAATTATACCACAGATGCATTCTCTCAGCTTATCCCCAAGTGAAATATATTATTGATATGAGAGATGTGGATGGGCAGACTTGACTTTTCATAAGGCATTTTGTTCTGTATTGGGAAATAAAGGGTTCTGGCACAAAAGTTGGTGCCATATTTATTTGTTGTTGATTAAAAGCTCTTATATTTTGGCATGTTTTCTTGTGTCACAGCTGAATAAAGCAGGTCAGCAATTGAAGATTCTTCCTCACAAAGTATACAATGATAAAAAGGAAATAATTGAATTGTGTTCATCAGTTGAGTGCAAGGGTATCATTGGCAATGATGGCCGTCACTATATCTTGGATCTTCTCCGCACATTCCCACCTGATGTAAACTTCTTGAAATGTAAGTTAGTTTTGAAAAGTTGTAGAGGTAGAATTAAATGAGAAATTATGTCATGTCTCAGGTTGAAGAGAACTTAGAGCAGCGGAGTAGAGAACTGTGAAAGAGGATACGGAAATGGGGCAGCTGCATGCTGGGAAAAAATATGTTCAGCCTCTATGTACAACAAGAATCTTGAAACAGTAGGATAGTTTTAGGTACTGTGAATTAAATGTGAAACATTATTGATGGGGCCAACAACTTAAGAGGCCATGAGGTTTGGGCTTAAGACAAGGGCTATTCAGAAAGTAACCTCCAGTGAGCTGTTAACAAAACAAGCAGCAAGAAAAAAGATTATTGTATACAAAAAATATGTACATACATAAGCTACTTCTCACCATAGTCACTGCTGAAATTGAGGTACTTATACTGGGGAATAAGTTTTTGTATGCCTGTGTTAAAGAAGGCTGCTGCCTGTGAGCTCAGGCATGTTTTGAGACCTTCCATCAGTTCATTATAATTGAAGCACTGTGATCCCAACTAGTGCTTCAGGTGGGTATGAGTAAACAGGTTGTAGTCACTTGGAACAAGATCAGGGCTGTAAGGAGAGTTGTCAAACAACTCCCAGTTGAAATGCTCCAGCAGAAAGCAGATAACAGTGCAAATTTCATGGCTGGTAGGATTATCAATCACAGGACATGCCATAACTCGTTTTGTAGAGACAAGAACAAACACTAGGTGACCAGCTGTTTGACAGTTTACAAAGCAATGAGGCGTGTGATGCTACCTCATGTGTGCAAGCTGTCCCCTGCTTCCCCATTAGTTGCCTAAAATAAGTGGAGGCTACTTTCCGAATAGCCCTCATAAGTCAAAAATAAAACAGTCAAACTGAATTCAGAAGTCCCAGTGCAGAAGATAATCAGAATTTACATTTATAGAATTCCTGCCTACTGCTAGTGCTATCTGTGGATCAATACTTGAACCTCCAGACAGAAACCATAGAGATATACATGAAGAGGCTATCAAATCCTACTGATCTTCCCTGTATGTTGCTACCTCTGTTGTGTAAGGGGAATACATATGGTAGAGATTTCTAGAGTACATTGACTGATTGAATTTGTCAAACACGCTGTGTGGGTCAGTTCCTTTATTTCATATACCTGCTGTTAGTTTCAGTTTGCAAACTCCTGGCTTCATTCCAGCCTACCCTATAATCTTCTTCATAAGCATGTTCACCCAGTTTAGCTTTGTCTAATGGACCCAACTGAGTAGGTGCCTCTGCATTCTTTGGGAACAGATCTGATTTCCAAAATATGTTCTTTTATATTATTAGATGATAGGCAAAGTCCAGAAACTCAGTAATCCTATGTGCAATGCACCACCATGAAAGCCATTTGGAATTAACACAGGTGTGAAAAGACTTCTATCTTCCGGGATGTAATGCCATGTAATCTGTTGAAAGTCAACTGATGTTTCAGAGGAGCATGTTTTGTCCATCTTTGGGATTGAAGAATAAGCCAGGTGAGAGGTGACATGCCCTCCCAAAGTCAGTTGACTTTCAGTGGCCTACGTGGCTTGATATCCCAGAAGATATAACTCTTCATAACCACTTCTGTGTGAACCTAAAATCTAAACACAGGTGTAGTTAGTAATGTATGACTTCATTTCAGTAAAGAAATAAAAGGGAACTTGGCACAGTAGATTTTTTAATATATATTTTATATATTTTAATATGTAGGATTTTAAGTTCTCACAGCTGTGGTTATGAAGAATTCAGCCTTCCAGGATACAATGCTATGTAGTCCAGTGAAAATTAGCTGATGTTTTGGAGGAATATGTCACCTCCATCTTCAGAGTTGAAGAGTAAGCATTGCTTGCTGCCTGCTTCAGGCTTGTTTCTTGCTTAGCTTACTCTTCAGTGGTGATGGAGGAGGTGACATGTTCCTCTGAAACATCGGTTGACTTCCACAGGACTATACAGCATTTTATCTCAGAAGAAGATGGTAGTTCATATATTCTGATTATAATATTCTGTTACAGTGGAAGGTGAGGAACTTAGTATAGAAGTACAGGCAATGGGCTTTCCTATTGAGCACAAACACAAACTTTGCTGTTTGCGCCAGGAGTTGATAGACTCCTTTGTTGAGTAAGTATTAACAGTGGTAAGAAGTAGTTTGTTAATATTGTTATTTCATTGCATAAGTCACTCACATAATAGGGCAGGATAGTGTGGAATGGATTCATTTGGCTTAGGATAAGGACCAGTGGTTAGCTGTTGGAAACACAGTAATGAACCTTACAAATCCATAAACTGTGTAGAATTTTTTGGTTAGCCAAATGACTTTTAGCTTCTGAAGCAGGATTTAACTTCATGGAATTAAGTCACTTAGTTCCTTCTAAAAATTGTATGGTCAGTCAGGATGTTGTATGTGTGATTTACAAAAGGATATTTGAAAATGATTTGCCATGAAGATATTTTTCTCTAGTTAACCTCATTCATAAATATGAAACATTTTCTTTGAAAAACTATGAGACACACTACAGGGTTCACTGGTAACAAGAGATTTGTTTTTAATTTTGACCCTTCATCATATTTAACGTTTTTTTTTCCTTGGCACTACAGCCCCAGTGGGCCTAGGCCTACCTCCATGAACTTATCCGTTCCCTTTGGTTTTTCTAGATCTTACACATTCGGTAGGACTCCTTGGATGGGTGATCAGCTTGTCGCAAGGCCTCTACCTGTACACAAACACAGAAAAACGCACACACACAAACTAAACATACATGCCCTGAGTGGAATTCGAACCCACGATCCCGGTTTCCAAGTGAGCGAAGACAGTACATGGTTAGACTGCTCAGCTACCGTGCCCGGCCGTTTAACTTCATTGCATACCATAAAATCCATAGACAAGTTCTTTAACCTCAGATTACATCAGCCTCTTTCTTCATTTGGCATGACACAACTTGTCATTTTGCACATTTGTATGGGTTTAAGGTCATGTTCCAGACCACATGATGGCAAGTGACATGTGATTTGTCTGACTAGCCAGCATGTCATAGAAACAGTCTTGATCTGAACTCAAAGTTTAGTTTTAAATAAATTAATATTGTCATTTTTATACGGATTCTTATTAATGAAGTGATTTGTACTTGTTATACTTTCATCTTCAATGGACTTATGGAATAGAGTCCTGCTTCAGCTGTCAGCAGGTATGATCAGGCACCATGATAACACACCCTCATGCCTCATTTGTGACTTAACCTCTTACTTGGCCCCTTGGCTGATCTCAGAGTAAGTTTTCATTTTCACATAGGAAAGACTTGTTTTGTCTACACTAGGCAGAGTATTTCACAAGGCATCTCTCTTTCAGACAGTGTTAGACATGGTGCAGTGTGATTGAGAGGAATTAATAACCTTAACGTTTCAGGGCTCGCTATATGATGTTTATCAAGTATGCTGCTTTCCATTTGCAACAGCTGGGCGTGAAGAAACAAAGGGAAAGAGAAGCACGGAACAGCCAAGACCGAGAAATTACTCAGAAGACAGAAAAGGAATATAAGGTATGAATATGGCAAATGTAAGAAAAACTAGGATTGCTCCCTTCAGTGCATAGTGAAACTGAAACTGTATTTCTTAATGGGTGTGCTTATCTGTCACTTCTGCATCAAGTTTCATACAAATGCCAGAGTTCACTCTTTTAGCTGTGTAATATGAAACTCATTTACCCCCTTTTGTCACAAAATTGCAGAAATTGTAAAGAAATATTACTCTATCACTTCAATTTGCATTTCTACTGTATCTACAAACCATTGTGTTTGCTCGGATAGCGTAGTTGGTGTAGTGACTAGCTACGGGCTGGACGACTAAGAGGTCGGAGTTCAGGTCCTGGTAGGGTCAAGAATTTTCTCTTCTCCACGTTGTCCAGACTGTCTCTGGGGTCCACCCAGGTACTGGGGGCTCTTTCCCTGATACTAAAGCGGCCAGGGTGTGAAGCTGACTACTCACCTCCAACTAGTGCCAAGGTCAAGAAAATATGGATCTATACACCCGCTCCCTCATACACCTTCATGGTGTAGTGCTTAATTAGTTAAGCACAGGGACAGCTTTACGTTACCTTTAGACCCCTGTATGTTTCAGCCCACATTTAATACATTTTTAATTCATACGAGGGGCATTCAAGTTCTAAGGTCTCCGATTTTTTTCTCAGGACTGGGGGCAGATAGACACATGCGGTACAGTTTAAAATACGTGTGCACTCTTTGTGAATGTGTGACAGAGATGGCAGCACTCTACGGCACACAGAACTCTAGTGGTAGAGGCGAGAGTGAGGAGTGTTTTTGATACAATGGCGACGTTTTCGTTACAAGAACAGCGAGTAATCATTCATTTTCTCCACTAGCGTGGTGCGACACCCATTGAAATTCATCGCCAGTTGAGTGAGACGTGTGGTGATGGTGTCATGAATGTGAAAAATGTGCATTCATGGGCGCGACAGTGCAAAGAAGGCCGAACGTCGTGTGACAACGAACCAAAACAATCTTGGCCTCGCACCAGCCGGTCTGACAACATGGTCGAGCGAGTTGAGAAAGTTGTTTTGGAGGATCGCCGATTGAGTGTGGAAAACATCGCCTCCAAAGTTGGCATTTCCGTGGGATCTGTGCACAAAATCCTGCATGAAGACCTGCGAATGCGGAAAGTGTTCTCCTGGTGGGTTCCACAAATCCTGGTGGATGACCACAAGGCTGCACGCATGGCAATTTGTCAGGCGATGTTGACACGTGATGAAGGCATGAATGGGACTTTCTTTTCATCAACTGTGACAATGGATGAGACATGGATGCCGTTTTTCAATCCGCTATTGCATCAGCAATTTTCCAGTGGTCAAAGCAGACTCCTACAGAAGCGTTTGCAGCAGCCATGGAATCATGGTGTCGACATTGTGAAAAATGTATACGGCTGCAAGGGGATTACGTTGAAAAGTGACAGAAGTTTCAAATTTTTTGTATGATTATTGTGTGAGAAAAAAAAATCGGAGACCTTAGAACTTGAACGCACAACGTATAATGGTTCAGTGTACAGTGGAAGTAAGACATACAAACAGTTTTAGTGTATCTCAAGAGTGATGTTTATGGCACTGAATATGTTTCATGTAAACAATATAAATCCTTCCTTCCTTTCATTTTCACCTTGTTGGATTAAATAATTATTTAAATAATGATAATACTGTAATATGTTTAATGTAGATACTCAATGATAGAATGCACCAAAGAATGACAATGATATGTGATCTAATTTTTGTAATTAGTAGGGGTGAAAACCATGAAATTCTCAAAACAGCAGCAGTTCAGTGTAACAATAACTGTATGAACCAGGGGAAATTTTTAAATGGTTGGGAAGATAAAAGGAGGGTGGACACGTGTTACTGATGATGATGATGGTGGTGGTGGCGGCGGTGATTCATGTGTTGAGATTGCAGAGCAGATTGATCAGCATATCTGAGACAACCAAAGAATCCCTGTTGGTGGTATTGCATCGGAAATGAGCAATACTCGCGGGAAAAACCAACGAAAAATTGGGTGAAAATGTGTCCAAAAATATTTATTTGGAATCAGTGAAATCAGGAATTTGTGGACCGTTGAACCAAGTGAATTGAAACGTAGGGTCATTACATGGAAAAATAAGATATGTCTAACTACTGGGTAATTATTTTATCAAAACTTATAACAAAATTTCCACTTAATTTTTACTTTACCTTTATATAAAAACTCTTTTTTCTTTTATGTGATGTGTGGTATTTAGCAACATATTGGAGAAACATGCTGCCTCCATCTTCAGTGTTCCTCTATGCTGAAGCTTAAGGCTGCATGTTCCTCTGAAATATTGCTACGTATCTGACAAATTATGTGGCGTCACATTCTAGAGGACCATAATTTTTGTAGTCTGCTGTCACCATGTTAGATGTTACAGGCCCTTTTATGTTTAACACAGTTGTAAAGTTATTGTTACCATGCCAAAGAGTGTTAGTGGATGGAGATGAATGGTCAGCTGAATTTTCAAGTCACTGTAGTCAGGGGGAATAGGATCCTAATGCCCACTGATACAAGAACAGAAGTGGCCCAGGACTGGTTGAGACCTGTACTTGAAAGAAAAATATTTACCTTGCCAGAAATTGAACCCCAGTTGCCTAATGAATATATCCAGTTACTTCACTGACTTATTTGCTCATCTGCTGGCTATAATGGCATTTGAAAGTCCTAATCTTAGAGATTCTGTACTTATGTTCAAATACCTAAATATACGTCACATCTCCATTAAGCATTTAAACTCTTTCTGAAATTGCCTCTCCTGATTCTTGATTTGACTGATATTGACATCTTATATTAAATTGTCTTTGTAATTTTATATCATTAAGTGCTGTATTTAAAATACAATTATTTTTACAGAACAAAGATAAGGAAACTGAAAATAGCAAGAAAGGAAAACATGATACTGACAAGTCAAACAGCGATTCTACAAAAGATAATTCAACAAATGAAAATCAGATGGGTGCAGATGAGGCAAAGAAGATTGTAGAAAGCATTACCGATTCCATTACGAATGGGGAGAAACAAGAATGTAAGTGTAACTAACTCTGTGGAACAGAGTCCTTTTTGAGAAGCTAATAGAAATTCAGCGGCATGTACTGTCTTCACTCGCTTGGAAACCGGGATTGTGGGTTCGAATCCCACTCAGGGCATGGATGTTTAGTTTGTGTGTGTGCGTTTTTCTGTGTTTGTGTACAGGTAGAGGCCTTGCGACGAGCTGATCACCCACCCAAGGAGTTCTACCCAATGTGTAAGATGTAGAAAAACCGAAGTGAACGGAGAAGTTCATGGAGGTAGGCCTAGGCCCACTGGGGCTGTAGTGCCAAGGAAAAAAAATAGAAATTCAGCTACTTAAGAAATTCCCTGCCTCATGCAGAACTTGAATGTTCATTACCATGTCCACAAGAGCCTGCTACTAGTCCCTGCTATGAGCCGAATGAGTCCACTTCACACTTTTAAGGTCTTTTGAATTATTGCCCTCCTATCTACGTAGTATATCTGTCTTCAAGTGACTGCTTCCCTTCCCTTTCCTTCCCATCCCTGATATATTGTAGAGTATATACTGTCACATCACGGATGTTCTCAAATTTGCCCAGTAGAACTGTGGCCCAATCAAACTCAAACAAGCAAGTAAACAAATAAACAAACAAAGCAAGTAATGATTATGACGATTATACAGTAAAGCCTTGCAAATCTGGACTTTATTGGGATAGGGACAGGTTTTTTTTAAATTGTAGTGAGGTGGGACTAAGTCCCTTGTACTGCGGCCACTTCTGGCCTATTGCACCAGCCCCAGATGATAGGTGAGGGTGATTGAGGAGCAATTGGTGGAATGAAGATTGGCAAGGGAAACTGAAGTACTCGGAGAAAACCTGCCCCAGCGCCACTTTGTCCACCACAAATCCCACTTGACCAGACCCGGGATTGAACCTGGGCTGCTGTGGTGGGAAGCCGGCGACTAACCGCTTGAGCTGTGGCATGACCCTAGGGACCGGTTTGACAGTAATTTGGATTAACTCTTTGACTGGCGCGGGCGTGTTTTAACGCCCGGACGATGCCAGCCGTTCCCTGGCGTTGGCGTGTTTTAACGCTTTGACAATCTCGTCCCTTCTTTGCTCTCTTGGCACTCATCAACCAAAGACATATTTATGATAGTTTTTGTGCATGTTTGTAAAGAACCCTTGTAAACTTTGTGGGGGTCTATATTACTGTCAGAACCCTCTGAGAAGGTAAAGGTCAGAAAATATTTCACATTCATTCAGTTTCACCATAGCTTCTTGCAGCAAGTGTCTTCGTTTTCCTACAGACCAGCTGGAAAATGTTGTGAACGAGATTTTTTCTGATGATGATAGTGGCGATGAAATAATGATTCCTGAATTGGATTAAGTTGATAGTGACAATAATACAGTGATAGGCAATGATCCACAAGACAGTAATCATGAACATTTACCTACCACGAGTGCGGTGCCTGACACGCCCATCTCATGAACGTACGGAGACATTGTACCCCCAATACTTCCATTTGCTAATAGTTTCGGGATCAAAATTGATATAACACATAAAATGCATCCCTTTTCATGGATTAAAATTTTTTCTGGATGAC